ACTCCTTTGCTACAAATGTGAATTGCCTTCAATGGGATGCTGATGCCTTCATGTTGCAGGAGGCGCGTATTGCTGAGTCCAATCTGGTTGATGCGCAGCGCAAAGCGGCCCTCTGCAATTTTGGTCTCTTTTGCTCTCAGCCTCTTCAAAAGCTGAGAGCAAGCAACGGAACTTTTCGGATCCCGTCCGGAGGCACTGCCACCTGTGCCAACAAGGAACTCACTCAGCTGTTTGATGCCAAATCTGATCTTTCGGGAGCCTGGTCAATTTTGTGTGCAACGACAAGAGTCACTGCCACATGGCATCAAGTTTCTCCTTCGGTCAAAGTTCTGGCTTTCAACTTTTATGCAGTGGCCAACGCTGCCTCCGAACGTGTCAAGTTTGAGAGAAATAATGAGCTGTTGGATCAACTTTTGCTGGTCGCAGCCCAATTTGGGGATGTTCCTGTATTGATTGCAGGAGACTTCCAAATGGAGCCTGGTATGTACCCTGCAGTGCAGCTGGCGTTGGATCATTGGGGATGGGCTGATCCTTTGCTCCAAACTAATGAATTTGGTGAAGTCTTTCGGCCTCCCACCTTCTTTCAACAGGCGGCTGCTGATGGTGAAGGTCAGTCATCAATTGATGGAATTCTGATGAACAGAACTGCGTTGGCTGCGCTAGTACGCATTGAAGTTCTGGATCACCAAGATAGACAGCATCGCCCTGTCCAAGCCTCGTTTGCGTGGGATCGCATTCAGCAGGTTGGAACCATTCTCCAACGTTTTGCCAAACTTGATGTCTCTGAAGTGCCGCGGTGTGATGCCTCTGACCCTGTATGCCACTACAACCAATCAAGTGAGCAAATTTGGTTGGATTATGAGTCGCGTTTCCGTGCAGCGGCCAATGCTGATTGCAAGTGGGACATCTTCAACGAATTTGCGCTGGATGTGCTTCTGCAACATGGAGCAAAGTGGGACAAAGGGCCTCGGTCTCGGGGCTCTCTACCCAAATTTCGGAAAACTTGCATGATTTCTCCTCAAGAGATGACGGGAAATCCAGCCTCGCCTCGGCTTCTGCTACTTCGGGCTTGCCTTCGGTCTCTACGTGAGCTAACCTACAGGTTTGGACGGACTTGTACTGGAGAAGCGGATGCTCGAACTTTCTTCTTTACGCAGAAAAAGCTGCTACGTAGGCTCAAGGAAGCATGGATTATCCCTTCTTCGGTTCATCAAGTGTTTGCTTTTGACATCCCTCACTTGATTGACTTGACGCTGCAAGCCATTGCCCAGGAGCTGAAGCAAATGAAACATTCTGCCATCCGCAAGTGGCGGGAAGCGATGAAGAACGCTACATCGTCAATGACCATTGGCAAAGTGGTTTACCAATACCTTAAACGCAAAGGCCGTGTTGTCCCACAGAATTTGGTCGAAGATGACGCTGGCAACATTGTTTATGATCCGCAATCTGCCATGAACATCATTGCGGAGAAATGGGACTCTGTTTTCTCTGTCAACGCTAGCCACCACCATGAAATGCAGATTCTGAAGCAAGTTTGGCCGTATATTCATGATAAAGGCATGTCTGTGGCCCTGGGCCCCATCACGGAGTTTCAACTTTGGGAGCAAGCTGCGCGGCGTAAACCTGATGCGGCTGCGGGTCTCGATGGGTGGCAAACTCGTGAAGTGCAAGCATTGCCACCTGTTGCTTTTCGGCCAGTTGCTGCGTTGTTCAATGGTATTGAGGAAGGTTCGGATGATTTTCCTACCATCCTTACCCAAGTTCGTATGATCATTTTGAACAAGGATGGCAGTGACGCACCACTCTCCAAGCGGCTGATCTCTTTGCAGTCGATCTTTACCTTGTTGTACACTGGTTTGCGTTTTATGCAGCTTCAGACCTGGCAGCAGAAAGTGATGCCCCCCAACTTAAAGGGGGCATTAAGGCCAGACAAATGGCTGAGGTCCATATGACTTTGCAGCTGGAGATCGATCACGCCCATAGCTTCCATGGATCGTTCGCGGCCCTCAAGCTGGACAAATCAAAGTGCTTTGATCGTCTGATGCCCAAGCTCTGTGCTGCCATTATGTTGACGTTAGGCCTTCCGACCGCATTCGTGCGTGCCTTTCTGGGCCTTTACACCAGAATGACCCGTTTCCTCTCATTTAAACAGTGGACTCGGGAGCAGCCGATATCCATGCCGAATGGGGTTGTGCAGGGTTGCTCACTCAGCTTGCTTTGTATCAACATTCACATTGCGATTTGGGCATGGATTATCTGCAAGATTGATGGTGTTGATTTCAGAGCTTTTATTGACGACACTTACTTATGGACTCGTCAATCCTGCATTGATGGCCTTGTTGCTGCTGTCCGAGCAACTGAACTGTGGGACTCACTTTGTGGACAATTTCTTAACACCAGCAAGTGTGAGATCTTTGCCACGACTCCAGAGCTTCGGAAAGCCCTCAAGAAGGCATTTCCGCAAATGAAGTTGGTTGAGGTCGTCAACATCTTGGGAGCCTTTGTCCAAACTACGCACAAGAATGTGGGAAGCTTCCCGGTTAACAAACTTCAGACTGCGCTAAGGGATTGTGAAGCAATTCGGGCCTTGCCGTGTGACAGTTACAAAAGGGCCCAAATTTTAGCAACAAAAGTACTGCCACAGATTGCCTTTGCCCCCCAGCTGAACTTTGTTCCGAAGCGATGGCTAGCCCGATTGCAGAGTGCAGTCGCCGATGCGTTGTGGCAGGATCGGCCCAGATGGCGCTCTAAGCACTTGTTGCTTTGCATCATCCATAAGGCCCACAAGTTGGATCCCTTCCTTTGTCGGGCTGTGACTACTATTGTGGAGTCAGTGCGCTTCCTTCAGCAGTCAGGTTCAGCGCGTCGACTGTGGCAGCAGCTGTTTGACCAAGACCAACTCACCGCTCAAGCATGGATGACCCAGTTCGCTCAAGCTTGCTCCATTCTGGATCTGGATTGGACCCATACCTTTGAGTTCTCAGCCCTTGGAGCAGATCCGGTGAATTTTCTTGACTTCTCAGTGAAGGACTTGAAATGTGTGCTTAAAAGCTTTGCTGCCAATAAGTGCTATCAAACCGCTGGTTTGATGCCGCGCAAGGATGTTCATACTGCCCTCGGTTTCCTGGATCTATCCTTGACGCTTTCGGCAAGGAAAAAGCTAGCTGGAGTGCCAAATGAAGGTTTTTCTTTTCTCTTTCATTGGGAAAGTGCCTTGGTTGGCTGTACGCTGACAGCCGATCGTTTGACAGCCGCCGGTTTGCATGACAGACCTAATTGCCGATTCTGTGATGCTCCCAAAGAGTCTATGCAGCACTTTGTTGACGAGTGTGAGCAACTCCCTGTAGATTTGAGGCAACCATCCTCTGCCTTTTCTCTGGGACCGAATTTTCCCATGCTTGGCATTGTTGAAATTCCTTTCGCGACTATTCGGGAGAAGCTGGTGTGTTCCAATACTTCACACATACAGGTGTATCAATGGACAGAGCCTCCTTCCACTGCTGCACATGTGTGGACTGATGGGTCAGTCCAACTTACAACACATCCTTGGCTGGCAGTTGCTGCCTATGCCGTGGTTGGACCTGATCAATCTGAGCTTGCAGTTGGGCGCGTCATGCATTGGAGATTGTCAAGTTATTCTGCCGAATTGTGGGGGGTGCTCGTCGCGTTTGCCATGGCGTCACAGCCCTTGGTTATTCATACTGATTCGCTAACGATTGTACAACAGTTCTCCTCACTCCTCCGTGATGGCAAGGTGCAACTGGAGTGGACACATGCGAATTGGTGGAATTTCTTGTTTGACTTTCTGGTACAAAGGAGAGGCCTGCATGACTCACCGCTGCAGCTTCTTTGGTGCCCCGCTCATTTACTGGAACACCTTCCTAGCACCATGATCACTGAGGAAGATGCCGTGCGAGTTGGCTCTTCCCGGCAAGACATCATTCTTAATAGGTTGGCTGACAATCTTGCAAAGAAGCAAATTCAGCAGATTGCAAATTCCATCAGAGCGGATCTGGCCCTCAAAGAAGCGGATGTTTTTGCCAGGCAATTATGGTTATCAAAATGCAACCGAGTATGCAAGAAACCTGCGGTGGAGAAGAGTGCACATGTGCTGCCAGTACAGGAACCTATGCCTCGATATACTGCTCGTCAGATGTGTCCGCGCTGGCCTTGGGATGTTTCCCCATCCTTATACACTTGGCATGCGCAAATTGACCATGCAGTTCCCTTCTGTGCAAGCAACTCCTTGACAGAGACTAATTTCCGGACTTTTCTCCGCTTCTGCAGTTCGATTAAATGGCGGATTGGAGATGGGTTTGCCTGTTCAGTCTTTGAATTGGCCTTTCTTGCCTTTTATGAGGGATGGAGGTTCCAACAGCCAACTGGTTCCTTGTGTACGCCCAATGCGTATGCAACGTTGATTCGTGCAGGTTTAGCTTATTGTAAGCCTAAGAAAATTGTGGTTGCCCCCTTGTTGCTGGAGAAGGGCAACAAGAGCAATGGGAAGACGTTCCCGAAAGGCGTCTTCATAGGTGCAGAAGCTTTCGTGCCGACTCCTGCTCTTGAGATGCTGGCCAGGGCATTCTCGAAAGGAGCCAAGCAAACGCCTTCGTCATGGTCCATGACCTTCGATTCCCTGCTGTAGTTCGTTAGTTGTCTTGACTGTGACCTCCTTGCAGAATGCAGGGTGGTTGCCACGACCCCGATGTCTTGGCTGGAGAGCAAAAAAAAGGAAGCTCCCCCGGCCTGAGGGCGGGCGGGAGCTTCCTGGAAGAAACGCTCACGCTATTCGTTTTGGTTCCTAGATTTTTGGGGTAAGCTTAAGTCAAGTCACATGTCGCAGGCATGTATGGGGAAGCATGCTCCACAAGGTAGTATCAGAAAATGGCTGTTGACTCGTTTCGGGATTTTGCTTCTGCGTTGGGACTCTTTTTGGGATTTACTGCTGATCAGGTCTTTTTCACGGGTCGCCAACCCCACCGCAGCTGCAGCCTAGCGACGCGGATTCAAGTTCGAGACAAAGATGGCGGATGCCTGACCAATGGCGGGATGTCGGACAGCGCCTAGGAAGGACGACCATCCCCAAAAAGAAGCCACTCAATGGATGTGAAACAAGAAGCACGGAAATCGCTTGGTGGCGGAGTTTCAGAAAATGGCGCCTTTCTGGGGTCTTCCTGTCTCAGAGTAGCTTACATTAACAAACTGGCTAAGCTTTTTGGCAAGAGCTTCAATGGTCATCAGAATGGATCCATGACTAATCCAAAGGGCTGTTGCTATTTGTGTAATTGCAGAAAGTAGCTAGCTGATTCCTCGTCATGCATCAGACTCTAACGTCGACTCGGGTAACGTTGAGCATCCCCAAGCCAAACCAGGAGTTGCGCTGGACCTCATGCCACCCTGAACCCTGCAATTGGCTGAGAGATTTGACCATCTTCGAGTGAACCACCAACTCACGCCAACCCAGTCCACGCGATGTCCAACGAACATGCGAGGAGAGCATTGCTCAAGAAGTCTTCAACGGTGGGCCCCCCCAAAGAACACGAGTTCATCCTGAAGAATCTGCATCGTTTTCTCCAAAGCATCAAAGTCATTGGGGTCGTGAAGCCTGTGCCCAAGGTGCATAAATCTTCCCGACTAAAGAAGATCCACTAACTACCCATCTCTCAAAACCGTTGTTCGTCCAGAAAAGGTGAGGGTGTCCTACGAGTAGTATGTGAATAGTGTCCCAGTTCACCAGCACCATTCTGGACCGACAGCTTCACAAGCCAGGTCATGGCCTTGACATATTCACAAGACACAGAAGCCCTTTAGGCGCTGCATCAAGGCACTAAAAATCCTGGAAGCATTTACAGTGGTTGATCTCAGTCGATGGCAGACATTGTTTTTAGAGACAAAAAAAGATCAGTTAGAGAATCCGGTTCACTGGTGGTTGAATGGATATGTATTCAATGGATAGATACCTTAAAAAGGATGGGTTTCTGCTATTGACTCAGGTCACCCGCTGTCCCCTCTTCGGGGCTTCAGAGGGATCCAGCCGTTAGGCCAGACAGTGAGCTCTGTGAAGGAGTGACTGCACTCTCATTGCTTCCATCCAGGTGCGTCAGCATAAAGCCTCAACAAGTCAAAGAAAAAGAACCAAAGAAACAATAACTTACATACCGTACCTGTTTTAAGCTGAGGGCAAAATGGGTCTGGCAGGTCCTTTTCTTCTGTGAGACACAGGAAGAGAATCTCCAAATCAGCATCAGTCGAACGAATCTTTATGGATCACCACAAAATCATCCCTATCACTATCCAACTTGTCAGATTTGCAGCCTCCCAATTTGCCCCGAGAGCTCCCAATTTGCAAAGAAAGAAAAGAAAAACGTCTCAAACCCGGTAATGCATGTCCACCTGCCCCAATCGTGGCGGCGATAAGAGATCTGCCGGTTGAGGATGGTAGGAACCTCGGTGCAGCTGCAAACCCGGTGGTTGAACATCCCTCGCCGCGGACGGTCGTTCGCTGGACGCCGAGCCATGGGTGAGAATCCAAAAGCACTTCGTTGTGATTGTGGGGGTCTGAAAGAAGCTGGTCCCAAGGATGTCTTGACAAAGTGGCAAGCGCTTCAAAAGTATATACCTCAAAAATGGTTCCCCCTAGCAAAGATGCGACCTGCAAGCTGTTGAAAGCTGAAGCTGTTCAAAGATGCGCCACCTGACCTGCACAGCAGAAGGGATTCAACCTGATTGTGAGGTTTTGGAAGCAGTGCCCACCATCCAGACTGTATCTACCCCTGTCGCCACATGAGCAGATCTTTCATCGGGCACCACACCGGCTTCCCACCGATGATCTGCATCTTCGGAAGTTGCGGCAAGGATCTCGAGACCTGTCGCCAAGTCACGAAACGACGAAAAGCGGGAGCTAAACCAAAAGAGGGAACTAAACCTGCTGCTTGCCGGTATGTTCAAAAGCGATTCACATTCTGTCCATCTACCTGTTGTGCCTTAGCCAGTCCGCATATAGGTTTGGAGCTGGGTGGACCAGCGTCTTCAATTAGAACAGGCCTCTGGTTCTTTTCCACTCAGTGTGTCTCACCCACATAGTGCAACGATTAGAAGACCAATTCACGCGCGCAGCGCGCCAGCGGACCTGCAGCGAGCTGCTCTTCTCTCCTCACACGACTGGAGCAAGAAACTCTCGCTGATTCGCAGCTCTGGCCTCAAAACCTCAAAAGCCAGGCAAAAGATCTTAAGAGGCCCAAGCTCTCTTGACTCCTGTGACTCTTCATGGCCATGGATCTATCTAGTGGTCGGTTTGGTCCTTTTTCCAGCTTGGCCGCCAAATCCGGACGGTTCTGGAGGAAGAACTTCAAGTTCCATTTCTCTTCCTGGATGTCAGGCGGAGACGATGTCACACTTCAAAAGAGTGTGATCTTCCCCCGACTACGCTTGTTCTTCTTGCCCTTTGCAAACACTATGTTGCTATGTTGCTATGTTGTTGTATCCATCCTTTTGTTGCACCTCGTTCATTCTTTCAATTATGCAGTACACTCATGCCTGTGGCATGACGGACCCAAACTGGCAAAATGGACTGAACACAATCAGTTTCTGGCTGCGAGTTGTGTGTGATCAGTCCGGTAGCTTCCATGTACTTGAGCTCTTCTACATTGACAAGAAAATCAGAGCAGTTTCCTGCACTACTGTACGATATCCTATAACAATTCAAACTCCCTGTGAAGGACCAGGGACCAAGTTCAGAAGTTGATCTTCACTTGGCCAATGCAGAATGGCCAACTGGTCAGTTTCAAAAGAATGACCAGTCACCTGGCCTTTTCCATGATCTCATCATAGATCGTCCGCATGGTGCAATCGGAGCACGGGAGCACGGCACGAGCAGCCACTTGGCAATCAATGCGAGTCTCAGCTGCAACAGCTGCAGGTGTTTCTTCATTACAGTATTTGGGTGGAGACGGGTCAAGGCCTTCTGATTGGGGATGAACATCCACAGCCGTGTTTTCACACGAGGGTAAAGTGCCCAACATCCATGGCAAGAAAACTTCCAAGGGTTGGATGCAAAGGCCAGAAGGTAAAAGTGCAATCAAAGTAGGAGAGTGGACATCCCGAGTCACTCACCCTGTACCCTGAGAATGGCACCCTGAAAGACTGGTTTCCTCTATAAAGCCCTGGTTTCAGGTCCATGTTAATCTTCCGTGGGGTAGCGCATGTTGCAGCCAAGGCCCGCTAAACTAGTGGAGGTTGAAACCGGTATTGTTCACCCGTCTTAAGTCTTAAACACTGACCCCCATCCAAGAGATTCCTCCCAAACACAAAAGAATAATGCAAGGTATGTCTGAAGAAAGCCTGTGAATCAGACGCCCTGGGCAAACGTCGCCTGATACATCGCAGCCGGGCTCCAGGTGAGGGGCGATGTCAGCGCCAGGACCTGCGTTCGTGGACCCTCCCTGGCCCAAATTGGTCGGGAAAAAGGGTTAGAACAGCTTCTGGAGGGAGGGCTCCTGGGCTCCGGCTGCTATTAGCCATCGCTATTCGGTTGGAGGCCATCGCAACCCTCAGAAGTCACAGACGTTCCCCTTCCATCAACAGAAGGAGGTTGTTGACCTGGTCCAACGGCTCACATCATTGAGGCACCTAAACCTGTGAGCTTTTCTTCCCAGCAGTTGGGTCGGACGCATGGATTTTGTTCACCAATTTGGAGAAACTCGAACTGTGGGAAAAGCATGGAAGAGACTTCCACTCTGTCTTCAAGTAAACATGCCAAAGAGCGAATCCGGGATGGCTTTGGACAGACTGCTGAAAGAGCAGGCTCCGAAGGGACTCTGGGGTCATTACAGCAGGTGAAGGTCCGTGATTTTCCTGGGTTTTTCTTGGTCTAATTTTCTTCACCGCCCTCAAATGGGTGGGATGCGCATCTTACCACTCTAAGTCGCACTACCCGGGCCCGGCTCTAAATAGACCCTGGTCGATCTGCCCGCCTCTTCCCAGTTCGTCAAGTTAGGGATGACCTGCGGGCCGGGCGGGGAGTGATAATCGGCTTTTGTCTCTTTCTTCAGAACTCACTTGGATTTCTGGTCCCCGCATCTTCTTGGAGGCACTGCAGAGAGCAGTCTCTATATAAAAATAGGCAATACAGTTCAAGCGAACTACTGTTGACCGTTCTTGGACATGTTTCGGCCTTGAAAGCCTTGGGGATCGGCCCAGACTTGTAGAATCGCAAGAACTTCCCAATGTCGCTGTAGACCTTGTCCAACACGAGCAGAGCCGAGCGGAGCGAGAGTCAGCCACACCGCAGGTGATTGGGAACAAAGAAGTGCCCAGAACCCGCGCAGAGATATGGGACTTTGGGTCTGCTTTGGGTCGGCCCATATCACTCAAGAAGCAAGTATGACCAAAGGAACATGAAGAGAAATTGTGGCTTGCTAGGGTTTCTACAGTAAACTACCTGAGATGAGACAATTACAAAAGGGTTTTGCATGGGCTAGCTTCTAGCTAGCTGGTTGTCTGGCGAATCTCCAACCCTCGTCCACTTTGCCTTGGGCAGTTTCACGTCTTGGGGGTTTTGATCGTTCGGTACCTGCGAAAGAGCCGCCACTCTGCCACGTGCTCTACTAGTGTTGCGATTGTCTCTGTGTCTCGGACGGCACAAGTCGACGACGGCAAAGCAGATGCGTCCTCCTCCAAAAACGGACCCCAGTCCCACGCCTGCACGACTTTGGGTGAGAGTCCAGCTTCCTCAGTGGGACCGCCTCAGGGCTAGACTATTCTGTTCGAGTGAACTTTCATGTAAACTGGATACAAGTTTGTTCGGAGGAATGGGCGGTGGCAGTGGTTGAACCTGGCAACTTGTCCCCAATCGCCTATCCTGAAGGGCTTGACGACATTTCACAAGCCAGCCTAGGACTCAACTTTTGTTGACGGCTTCCATTCCAAGACACTCTCTCCTGCCGCTTTCCGCGCTTCTGCCTCCTGCTTCCGTGCAAGCTGCGGGAACTACACGCCAGTTCTTTCAGTATATAACTCTTTCATCCATGCCCCGATGGAACCACAGACATTGCTGTTCCTTTGGGGCTCAACGTAACGACTTCAGTTAACTGCGTTTGCAACTCCAAGAAGTTCAAAAAATTGCACAAGAACCGCTTTCCAGACAGCGAAAGCTGCCCACCAGGGGCTCACTTTTTGACGTCTTTTCAACCAACTGCTGGGTCCCTTCTGTTTTGATGTGAGTCCAAGGTCCAAAGTTGCCTGGATCTTCTGCAAGATGATGTCAGCCAAGGTTGGACCCTGGCAGTTTTCGCCATCAGCCAGGTTTAAGGAAGACGTGGGCGAAACAAACGATTTTGCCGGTCAACACAGACATGAACAGGATTTTCTACATGCAAACTGGCGGATCTCGTTGATAGGCTTTCCAACTAACTCGAGCAGTGTTGAACCCGTGCAAGTGAGATCCAGCGATGCCTGAGAAGCCACCTTGCCATCTTTGCTGGGCAGGAAGAGGGACATGGCCTCACTTGAAACGGAAAACCCTCCTCACTATCCTCATTTCAAGACCAGCATGGGCTGCCGGCATTGGCTAAGAAAGCATAATTGAAGACATGGAGCCCAGCAGGTCGACTGCTGCTGCTAGGCAGGCTACCCTCCCCCAATAAACCCCTGTGCCAGAAGGGTTTAAAAGACTATCATGCACCTGGTATGTAACAGTTTTTCTCAGTTTCAGGGAGAACAACACGTATCAAACGTACAGAGCCCGCATTGATTGGCAAGTACTACTATCTAGTTCCCAAGAGGAACTCGAGCACTTCTCTCCACTCCAATCGAAGGTGCTCGTTCGTCTTCCTCGGAAGCATTCGGGCCGATGATATAGCCATCCTGGCCGAACTCCCTCTTGAAGCAGTGAAAAGAAGCAAGCGAGGTCAAAACCACAACGTCTCCTTCTGGGCGGTTCCTTTTGTCCTGCTCCCTTTCTAGAATAACTCCCTCACTTATTCTGAACTAGAGTGCTTTAGGGTTCATACCTTGGTGGCAGCAGTTGCTTCTCCAGATCCCAGATCCGTCGCCTCATCCACTTGGACGTCAACCTCTTCAACTTCCTGTGGGACGTCAGCCCCTCCCGTCGCTCCCCACGCCAATGGTCAAGTCGCTCCCCAAACTGCCCACTGGTGCACCAAGACTTCATGACTCGAACAACCTTCGGGCCATAGATTGTCTTGCGGACAAGAAGGATCGACATCCAGCATACAAGTTCAGAAAAGCGCGGGTATGGTTGAATTGATAAGTTTTATGTGGGTTAGATGGTCCATGACGCAAAACGAGAACGCTCTGCTAAGCACACATCTGTTTCACACCTCTCCTCCTCATCCAGAGCAGCATCACCTTGGGAGGCTAGTTCAGAGCCAAACTCGCCAATCGCATCTTCATCATCAGCCTTTTGTGATTGAACCTCGACAAACAGAACTCAGGAGTCTTCAGACAAACTCTGCAATGAAGATGTGGTGTGGGTCATGAGTCATAACTCTGTTTCCAAACAAGCAGCCTGAAAAAAAAAAGGAATTACACCACCGTAGACCCCAAACAGTTTGTGTCTTTCGAAATCGGAACACTCTGCAACTAGAGCCTGCGACGTCCAGAGCTGGGAGACAAAGGATTGCAAGGCAGAGGCGGCCACAGTAGTCCAGAGCTGGGAGACAAATGTAGACACAGGGAGACAAATGTAAAGGATTAGGCGGACACAGCAGTCCAGAGCTGGGAAGAAGAGGAGACAAATGAAAGGAAGCGGGAGACAAGACAGCCGGGAACCCGACCGCAAGCACCCAGCCTGGGAGACAAATGAAAAGAACTGGGAGACAAGTGAAAAGAAGTGGGAGACAAATGAAAGGAAGTGGGAGACAAGCCAGCCGGGAACCCGACCACAAGCACCCGCCTGGGAGACAAATGAAAAGAACTGGGAGACAAATGAAAAGAAATGGGAGACAAATGAAAGAAAGTGGGAGACAAATGAAAAGAAGTGGGAAACAAATGAAAGGAAGTGGGAGACAAGCCAGCCGGGAACCCGACAACAAGCACCCAGCCTGGGAGACAGATGAAAAGAACTGGGAGACAAATGAAGGGAAGTCAGAGACAAGCCGGCCGGGAACCCGACCAGACCATCCAGCACCAAGGCGACCATTCTGTAAAGCATTGAGAACCCCTAACAGTAAACTGTTTGGGGAAAAAACATGCACATCCACCTAAAGAGGCTTCCGTGATGTGTTTTCGGCCCACACAGGCCGTCCGATGTAAGCTCCCCACCATGCCAAGCACTTTCTTCGCAACGCTGGACGGCACCACATTGCTTCCTTCCTTGAGAGAAGCATCAGGTGCTTCCACAGTCCCATTCCCAGCCGTTTCTCCCCCTCTGGTGCGCAGGTGATGGAAAGAACACTCCCGTTCCCACGTCTGCCCGTGTGCCTCCTCCAATGTATCGCTGCCTTTTCGTAACTTGCTCCGCCTCAGCCACGATGCGGTACCAGATGATACCATGATGAGGGTCCTTGACAGGTATGTCTAAAACTTATCTGCACATAGAAAACAAACACTTTAGGGAGGACTTTGGTAATGTTCTTGTCCTCCATAGGAGTGTGGCTACAAACTGAAATCACACAAGTTTTTGCAATGAACCTCATTCCCGTACTGCTTTTCCTCACAATTTCCTTAGTGTCTGACGGTGTTCTTCGAATGCCTCGATTGTTCTCCTCCTGGCATGTTCGAAAGTAAGAAACACCTTCACATGCAAAACAACGATGTTTAGACTGCAAAAAATAAGGTCATGCCAGGATCTTCAAATACAGTGTCTGTGAAGAAGCCGAAGGTCATTCACCAGAGTTGGGTGGTTCAAAAAAATTCTATCTGAAATGACCACCTCTCGGCGTTTCTGGTGTTTGTTAAATGCTGTTCATTGTTGCTGTGATATTTTTCCACCTGTTCATGCTCCAAACCCAATCCTGCCTCCAAGATATCATGCGCCAAAGGATTGTGCCGCATCGCCTTTGAGACCTCCGCGAGGTTGGCACGCCGAATGGACCGAGTTCGGCGTCCGTGCGAGTTTGCCTTGGCCCGCGTCTGCTTCGGCATGAGGTGAAGAAGAAGCCGTGCACCGAGAGGAGGTTTGAAAAAGAACTGTGCAGGTTTTCCTTGGTTCAACTGTACTGGATGAAATTGTTGGGGACACAAAACAGTTTGGCCTTGAAGGAGACTGCGTGCTCTCAGAATCACACATGCAAAGACGTGGCTAGCAATGTCGTTCTGTTAAACTGAAAATGGTCTTTTTGTCGCGTCTTAATCAGACACTAAACCTTTGAACAAGAAAGTTTTCTCATCACCAAGCAAACGTGTGGATGTTTTTCCGACTCCCTTGTTGCACAATGATCAATGCAGGGCACTGCTACAGAGACTTGTTGCAGTTGCCATGCATGGGAATTTGTATAATGTGAACTGCACATTATTGAACCACGTCCGGGTGGCAAAAACCCAACAAAACCCAGATTTTGTGTGGTGGTACACCGATGGTCACGATGCCATGCTTTGAATACAGGACACTGTATTTCAAAAGATTCTACATGGCGATGAAGTTGGCAGAACACACACCACGACTAGTGGAGTGTAGTGGGACCGACCCACGACTTAAGTTAAGCACCTTTTACAGTCATGCCACCGGAATATGGCTCATGATCTTGTAGACCCGCAAATTTTCATGCCACACAAATGATTCCTGCTGTCGGGCACAAATCAAGAAATCTACCACCCAACACCCCTTTTTTTCTCAACATCACCTGAAGACATCTTTGGAGCAGGACATATTCGGTTTGCATTGAAAACTGTGGGTGCCCTTGGGTGCAGGCTCTGCCCGCAAGATGTTGCAATGATGAATGATGTGCAGGTTTGTGTTTTTCTCGTGGAATGTTTATGCACGCGTGGGGCTGCCGTTATCGCAAAAATGCGAAGGTCAGCTGTTGTAGAGATTGAGATTTGACGTCCCACCAACACCATTGCCAGCAAAGCTTTCCTGGATTGTACCTGGTTGACAGGTCTCAATCTGATGCCATGTGAGCGAACTTCTGGCGAGGGCCCTGTGCTGAACACTTTTTTTTGCACGAGTATTGACGGCGTGTGTGTGGTGTGCACAGGTCATCATTCTAAAGGTGGAAACTCTGCAAGTTGTGAAAGGGAGAAGCAAAGACCAAAACAACACCCCCAACACCACCAAAACAAAACAAAACAACAAAAACCCCCCAAGCAACAACTTTCAGAGTTTCGATCTGTACATAGGGGTGAAACCAAGTGAAACATGGATCGGCTGCAATGAGCTACGCGGGCCTCGAATTCTCGAAATCATCTGCAGTGCATGCTTGTTGAGTGGCAGTGTGCACTCAGGCTTAGTTCGGACTAGCCTGCACACAGGCGCAAGCCACAGGAGTGCATCAGAAGCACTCCAAATCCTGCACGGGGAAAGCAGGATATCAGCTCAGCAGTCTGTGGGTGGGAGAGCAGCGAGTGATGGTCCCAATGAAAAGCGGGTTGCCTTGAAAGTGCTCGAGTGCAATGCGTCTCTGGCCGTGGAAAACAGTCGGCAGCTGGTCACAATCATTTCAAACAATTGCGAAGCCAGTGGGAACTGTGGCCTGTGGTGGGCGTGTACAAAAACAAGGCATTGCAACATGCGCCAGCAGAAGGCGCCCAACGAAACCTCCCTCAGCAGAGGGAGGAGTCGCACACAAATCCAGCCAGCTCCGTCGGCATTCCTCAATCGGCTGTCTCCTTCATGCAAGGCCCTTGTGAAACATTGTGAAACGTGCAAAACTATGCGTCCACTTTGTACAAGATTGGCAGGGTACAGACCCTTCACAGGCGAGGAGCTAAGGCCCTCACCTAGGTGCCAATCGGCTACCGTCGCGTGCAGACACCGGTCAGGAGCTAAAGCTCGCAACCAGGCCCGCTCACTAGCAGCGCGCAAGTATCGGCACATTGGGCAGAGATAACTTTCACCTCAAAAACGACCATCTTGCCTTTGTTAGCATGGTCAACGGAGGCATGGAGGTTGTCTGCTGAGTATCTATGTTGGGCACAGCCTTGACTTGCGAAGCATCAGCTTGGTTTGAGTTCTGCACTGCCCTAAGGGCCTTCGCAAACTCATGCCTGGCTTCGAAAGGTCCAAAGCAGCCTGATTTGGGGATATCCTCTCCCCTTTGCTTGGTCTAACTTTCAATGATTCACTCCAGCAGGGTGCGATCGGGAGAGTCTATACGCACCGTGCAATGGGGCACGAGTGAGATATCATTTACTGATCTTGCAGACCATGAAAGAGGTTCGTATGGTAAGTGGATGTGAGTTAGCAGTTCCCCTTGGACCGCAACTTCATATTGGAACTGTTTTTTCTTGGGCTTAGCACAAGTCCGACTCACGTCCTAGATCTTTGATCATGCGCAGCCATTGCGGCCACCGCCATGCCGGGCACAGCGCAAATGTATTCTCTTCCGCATACGTCCCTCTCCAAGTAGTCCTTTGACCTGGCATTCTTGTGGGCTTCCGCAAGACTGTACAATCAAGGAAAGCCCCACTGGCGATGCAATGGAGTGAGGGTGAATAGCGAGTTCTTGCAATGCCGCACAGTCCATGAAAGCTTTCACATGGATTGTGTGTACTGGGTATGGCAGACGGACATCATGGAGTCTGTTGCAGTGTACGAACGTGAACTTCCGAATTTCTTCTGTGTTGTTATTCGAAATGTTCACATGGGTAAGCAGTTTGCAGTTGTCACAGGCATGGGCTCCCACCTCATAGAAGTCTCGTGGCAGTTGTCTTTCAACCCTGTGGAGCAAAAGCATCCCTTCGAGAGTTCACGACGTGGCACTGACAGACCTTCTGTGTGGCCGCCTGTGCATCCCGCACGACTTGCCTGAAAAAGGACTGTGAACCCGAACAAATGCACATGGCCCAATCACAGCTCCTTTGGCTGATTCGCTTGTACCTTCTTTGATGATGCCCACTTTTTCCAGGGCACAACATTCAGAGAAGAGTCGAACGCCGAAGGCAACGCAGCCAGGCATTTCCACCATGATCAGGGCAAAGTGTGTGGGCTACTGAGAGTGCCCCCCCTAAACCTCCACAATTGATCTGTATTTTCTGGGAAGGGGTTCAAGCGGAGCCAATAACCAAAACTTGTAATGCTGAGCCATATGCCAGAGCAGGGTCTCCCAATGCTCAGTCCAAGGGTGTACATCATAGAGACACCTTGCTTGAGCTAGGCTGGTCAAGGCAAATGGGAGACAGCGTGAAATCATGCGGCCAGAGCACTGCGAGCATCCAGAGCTTACTGGGAGACAACTGGGAGACAAATGGGAGACAAATGGGAGACAAGTATAAAATCATGCGGCCAGAGCACTGTGGTGAAGCAGCCGGATCGCGCCTAGCTTCTTCGAATTCGATGGTGTCTTGTGACACCTAGGGCGGCTGATCCTCGCTGCAGCCTGCTCCCAGTGTTTGTCTCTGGAGCAAACAACAGTTGGTCACGGTGCACGTTCCATTTGTTGAGGAACATTCAATTTTTCTGTGGAATAGTGACTGCCAGCCCCACCAGTGGCCACTTCAAGATGAACTCATGCTTGTTGCCTGCGGATCTCACAAGTTCGCGCTGCCCTGAGTTGTTCAGACGTGTTTCCAAAAGTATGACTGCAGGACCAAATTCAAGGAGATGCGTGCGAAGACTGCCCCAAGGCTGTTTGGGTCTTCGAATGCCACTCGAGTAGTCCCAGCCAAGGCTTTCTCATCGGTTGCGCGACTGCGGCATGCAGGTGTAGACCCAGCTTTCACACAATTGACCGAGAAGCTTGGCGATGTTGCCACTGCTGCAAATTCCCTTTCGCGAAGTCTTTGTTATCTTGGCCCTTTTTCTGCCGCAGCTGCCGTTTGCAGAAGGGGCCAAACTTGATGGCCGGCTCTGGTCCAGTCCTGCCATCCGTCGCGATGATAATGAAGTTCAGATCACCCCGATCGCCCAAGGACTTCAGGGCATGCATGAATATAAGATAGCTTTTGCAGCTCACTCGAGAGCTGCTGCCTTCTGCTCGCCCGAACTGCAGAATTGCAGATTCGAGCACCTCACCAGCCTGCCCTCTGAGAAGATCCACATTGGGTGTCAGGTCGGCAAAGTGTATCGGATTGTGCTCCGAGAAAACTACAAGGTTTATGCTCTCCTCGTGGCGCTATTGGAATTCGTTACGCAACCCAAGAAGAAATCCAAGCAAGGGTCCACTGAAACCTGGGAAGAGGTTGCTGTTAGGCAGAGCAGCCCCAGATCCTGGCTGGTAGCCTACATTCCCACCCCGGAGTCGTTTGCCCCCCTTCCAACGCAAGATGAAATTGGCATGACCACGCCTGCGCAATGGGCACTGCCGCCAAGCATGTTGAGACTTGAAGCTCGAACCTTTGGGATGCCAATTCTTAGCCTGGCTGAGGTGGGCACTACTGTCTCCGCCAATCACCTGTTGCAAATGGCAACGATGCCTCTCGAACACAAAACCACTGCCCTGGGAATCCCATATCCCCTTCAAGTCTCATACCAATTTGATGGCGCCGATGAGCTCATGCAAAGCCTCCACTCGCTGTTTGGACTTTCGGTGACGGGCAATACCCCTAGGTATTGTCCCCAAGCCTCTCGCTTTGGCAAGTACCTATGCGTTGCTGCTCGCACAGATAGCGCGCACATTATCTCAATTGCGCTCTCATTGGCTTCTGCCCTTCAATGAGGGCGCTCCACCCTGGCAATTGCGGGGGTTTTCGGTGCCGGCAAGACACGCTCTCTAACCTTCTTGCTTGCGTGGTTTGCTGTCACAACAAACTTGAGGGTTGGGGTAGTTCACAAAGAAAATCCGGCCGGAAGAGCCATCACCAAACTCTTGACCTCCCTGAATCTAGAAGAAGACCATATGCCTCTGTTTATTCGGCCTGTAGGGAGGGAAGAAGCTGCTGCCAACACGGCGTGTACTCCCACGCCAGCCATTCTTCAGAATCCTGTCCAGGCCACCGCCCTGTTTAATGCAGCGCGGGCGAGACCTGGATTCTATTACACAATTAATCAAGTCAATCCTATTCACGCTACTCCTGAACAGGAGCAAGCTACCCAAACA